CTATGATTCTATGATTCTATGATCATTGTGCCCTGTTGTCACTGTGTTCCCGATTCCTTCATCGCTGTGTTTACCATTCTGGGATAAACCCCTGGGCACCCGTGCACAGCTTCGGAACTGGCTCACTGTTTGCACTTAGGCACCAGTGACCCTGTTGTATTTTTTTGTTTCCGTTCACCAAAGAATCTACCGAATAGCTTATTTAGAGGAGTGATTGATTCTGGTGCAGCCCAGTGGCCACAGCAAAAACACTTTCCAGGCTTCGCGGTTTCTAGTTAGGCTTCGCCCTCTACTGACACAAGCTGTATGGCAGGTACTGCACTGACCCTTTGCTTTGGGCTCCTTTGGTTTCCAGTTCGCTGGTAAAACAGAGGTACAAAGGATAAAAGGCAGAATGACTTTGAGGAGCGTTAACCGTTGCAAACATCCATCTCTCCACAGCCTCCACGGGAAGGAAGGAGGGGAAAGATGAAGACAAAGGATACATGAATTCTCATCTAGAAATGTTAGTTCAGACTTGGAATATGAGTCTGGGCCCCCAACACATTGTTAACAACCATGAGCAATGCTGAATATAGGTACAAAATGTTAATGTATGCTGTTCATTGTGCTTGGTTTACGGGAAACACTGGGGGATAAATAATGGCCACGAACAATTCATGACAGTTGCCATATTGGCTTTTGCAAACTCATCAATTAACAGTTTGTACAATGACATTAGATTAATTGTCAAGTTGATTATACTATGAGCATGGCAGGGGTGGGGAAGAAGAATTTTTTTTTTCAGGGTTTTTTTCCCCCTGATCTCAAGTTTAATCTTAGAGTGAAATTAGAATTGTATTTAATTTACATTCCACCCAGGAACAACATGAATGTTTTTCCATTCATGAAGGATCACAGAAGCATTTCCCGAGGATATTTTTGGTGTTTCTGGATGTGGTTAGCCCAGGCTTAGAAGAATTGGAGGCAGAGGACCTGTCTGTGTGATCAGTGAGGTCATTACCTCTGCAGAGATGGGGATTTCTACAGGCAACTACGCCAAAAATCAGCTTTGTATCTTCTCTAACAATACAGTTAAAATCGTAACAATATCATACTCTATTTTTTAGTTAAGCAGGACTATGTATGTCCTCCCCAACATGTGAGACAGACAATCTCTGATCAGCATGGCTGCACGCTACCAAAAGCAGCAATAGTCAGTAACACAAATGACTTCTGGGTCCTTGTTTGTTTTCCCTATCCAGGCTCGCAGAATTAAAAATCAAATTGCAGATAACAATGCAGAAGTGTCCCTTCTGGGAAAGGAGCAAGATCAGGAAAAAACTGTTGTCTTGCAGCAATATCATTAGCTAAATGACAAAAAAAATGATACTCAACATTTTAAAGAGGCTGTTCATGATGGGAAATGATATTCCCTTATATATGACTGAGGTGTTTCGTACTACAGCTTGCTTTGTATATTCATTTTTTCACTTCACTTTCCTCTTCTCTAGACCAACATGTGTCTTTATAGGAGTAATTTCCCATCATGAGGTCGACAACAATATCCATTAAAGCATTTCTATAAATCCGATTCCAGAGAACAGTGTTGCCTAAATAAAATTTTTATGACCTCTTTGTTTTATAACAGGATGATGCAACTTCATTTCAACTGATTTCAATTTAGATCCACAGCTAACAGTGTAAATCGATGTCAGTTTTGAATGGTTGCCAGACTACAAATGTTAAGGAATTTCCCAGAATATTCTGGGGTCACATTTTTAATAATTTAAAAGATATTGTGAGGTTTTTTTCCTGTACCATAGGTATACAGACAAGCTCCAGTTTAGTATAAAGACTGAGTACATGTGATGAGGTCTGCCTTTTCCTGTCAGATTCTCAAAGGAGAATATGAATTTAAAGCATTGGTCACAGGCATTTACCCCCCTTCCCCCTTCCCTTTCCAGCAGCCAGAGTACTTGACTGCCTGCACCATTCTATCCACAGCTCTCTGGACCTGTGGTATAACCAGAAGCTTTAATTAAAAAATTAAAATTAAGAAACTCAAGAGAAGAGGAAGAAGGTTAGAACATCAAAGGCTTAGATATCTACACACATGCTCAAGTCTCCCAGAAAGACATGAAGCCATTGCAAAACGACTAAGAAACAGGCCTCTTCAAATGTGATGAACACCCTGGCTGCCGGCAGCAGGATCTAACTGTAGGGCTAGACAGGCAGAAGCGCTTGTGTTTGCACTTGCTGGGGCAGGTGCTGGTGAGCGCCCAGCTGCCCTCTGGCTCCCACAGCGTTCTGGGTTTGAGATACTTCCTCCGTGGTCAGAAGCTCTGGACAGCACAAGCAGCATTGTACCCCAGGCTGGAGCACTGCTGGCCCTGCATCTTCACCCCTACCCTCCTCCAGCTGATGTACCACGTGAAGTGACTTCCTTGTAAGCCACCAGAGACCTGGAATTTACTCTTGAAATGCTCTTTGAGTAAGCCTGTTTTAAGAGAGGCATGAAGGAAAAGCAAAGCCCAATCTACAGTGCAGCCCCATCCTTTTAGAACAAAATAAATGTGTTTCCCTTATAGGCGGCTTTCCATAAATATGAACAAAAATAAGTTAAAGGAGTCAGATGAGGATCACTTTCTTCCAAAGTTAAAGCAAGAATAAATTTCCAGTGCACCCTCTCCCAACATATTTCCACTGTGAAGAGCCTGACGTGTAAAGCAAAACCATGCTGTTGAGAAGCAATTTTTCACTCACCCTTTGGCCACTGTTGCTATGCCAACGTCAGTTAACTTCATTCCTACACCTACGAGGCATAAAGGAAACAGAGCTTATGTTACACTAGAATTTCCAGGGGTATTCTCCGATTCAGGACCACCATATATAGAGGTATTAGATATTACTGATTGATCCATGGGTTTAATTATTTGTCAACATTTTTTCGAAACGTTCTAAAGCACCCCAGCAAAAACAGGATCAGTCTCATTCCAGCAGTTTAGAGATAGCAAGGTGATAAATGGAGCATCAGTTGTTTCCTGTGCTGGACAACTGGGGAGAGGGGGAGGAGGGGTGACACTTTGATCCCTGCATTTTAAGAAACATACAAAATCTTTTTTTCTGCTCCTGCCCTGAGATGTGTGTATTTATTTAAGGGTTTTGTGGGTTTGATGCTTTTGCTTTTTACGATGAGTACCAGTAGGAATTGCATATTTGCTTTGCTACTGAAATGGCAATAGATCAGTCAACCTTATGTTTACTTTTTGTGTGACAGATCCAAAATCCTCTTCTTATTCACTATTTCCAAAAACTTGTGTCTTTTAACCTGTCTCTTTGTTGACTTGTTTATAGGCAAGATCCAGTCCTGTAGTGTGCAACTTTTCCTGTATAGGAAAACAATGGTCTCAAGCCCATTTTCCTTGGAGAACACCCTCAGAAACCTCAACTGGTGTGCCTGAAAAATGCAGTCTAGACACTCAAATGAGAAGGTGATCAGAGAGGAAGAATGTTTCTCTTCAACAGCAGCAGGTATACTGTCCTTTGTGGCAGAAATCATTATAGATGCTCAGATACCTCTTCTGCTGTTTTGCCTCCCTCAAGCTAGGATTTTGTTCATTTCCCTTGAAACTACTTCAGGGGTCTTGTTTAGATGTCTTGTTGCTCATTTTCCTGCCTTCCCTTGTTAAAGAACACGGGCTATTTTCTAAGATTCCAGCTTTCTTTGGTTTTCTTTAACGAGGGTCTGTCTTTCTCTGTTTCAAACCCATCTGTGCACACTGCGGTGGGTGCAGCCCCAGCGTTTCAGCAGCCAGGAGTCACACCCACGGCAGCGGAAGGGCAGCGGTTAGTAAATGCCAGGAGGGCATTTCTTCACCATTCTTCATTTTTTGAAGGAACATGTTTCTTCACACCTAGCCAGGACCTGAATGTGGAGGATTCCACTGTTCAGAGACTGTTTGTAAGTAATTAAATACAAGAAAAACTGAAGGACTAGGATGTTCTTAACAGCTGAAGTCTCTAATTCCCAAGACATGTCATTAGCCTCTGGGCGGTGAGACAATAAGCCAGACTTGACTCCTATGGAGCGTCCAGATTTACTAAGGGGGCACACGGAAGAACTCTCCCATTTAGACTGTAAGATTTGTGTTTTCTTTTCCAAACTGTCGTCTTACAAGAACACAAACTAGGTAAAGATTCCCTTTCTCTGCTGATTAGATAAACATCAGAATACTGCGTAGGTTAATTCATGTTTGCCCCTGCTGCCACAGTAGGCAGTTAATTCATGTCCTTCTGTTCCCTAGGGTAACACACGCACACAAATAAACACGGTGCACCTAAAAGAGGCGAGAAAATAAAATATCCTCACTCTCTTTCCTGTCTCTAACTCTGATCTGCACGAGATGCTGTGTAAGACAGGCGCAGGGCAGGGTACTGTCTGCGTCTGGAGAAGACTCTGCCCATCACCAGGTTATGAGAGCACGCAGCATTGCCAACAGGACACAGAAAGCCAAGAACAACACTGCTCAGAAATAAGTCTCTGGAAGTTCTGCAGTTATGGGGATTGATTGTGGGCAGTCACCAGCCTGTATCATGGGAAAGCCATTTTATTTCCCTCACTCAGACAACTCACCTTGCAGGTCAGTGACAAGCAAGCTCCCATTGGTCTTCTCATACAGCCAGTGCTGGAAGGTGCAACACTTCTGGCCAGCTTCTGAGTCCCTGCGCAGGAAATTTACTTCCTTGCCATCCCTGACAGAGTATTTCACAAATTCCCCAACCAGCTCCTCCTCCACGGTCGCGTAGGGGATGTTATTAGCAGGACGATGAACAAGAAAAATAGGAATGATCCTGAAATCAAGGGATAAAAACTAATAAAGTCCAGAGAGTCAATAAAGGAGTAAGAAACAGACAAAGTGGCCAGTGATCTCAGAGGGTGAATGAACAACTACCAAGTCTAAACTAAGCCAGGAGATATCTGGATAAGATTCTGATCTTCTAAGTAGCTCTAGAACATAATGGCATTATCCTCTATGTGCTTATTTCTTTGCATTAATTACTCAGACATAAACTTTTCCAAAGCATACTTTCTAATGTTGTCCTATGACATCCCAGAACCTAAACTCTGCACAATAAATGGCACTTGCTTGTTTTGGAGTGTCACTGTTTCAGCTGCTCAGCCTAACTGATGTCAGTTTTCCTGAGGGGTTAAGCACCTCAGGAAGGAATTTGATCCACTCCAGAAAGAGCTCTGCCCAAGACCACTGTAAGTGGAGGATTTCTCAGACTAGACACATCCAAAATTAGCAAACACTTTTGATAATGTAAATACTTCACTGAAAAGTAAGAGGAAACGAGAAAGTCTCTGGAAAGATCTTAAGATTCTCAAGAGAAGTTGGCCCAACTGAAAATCTAGAATCTGAAGATTCTTGAGCTTTGGCAAAGTTTGGATCCAGGACAGAAAACTTCAGCTGGTTCTGTATGAAGTTTTCAGGAAATTGCAAACTTGACAAAATTTGCCTCATTTTATTAATTTAGAAATTGAGTTAGCTTAGCCAGAAAGACTCACAAAGTTTTGCAGGAATATAAGCTAGGTCTATTTATATCTAATGATGGACCAATCCACAAAGTCACACCAAATACTGAATAAAATTTTGCTTGGGGTTTCACGGTCTTCTCAGAGAGGAGCAAACATGAAGTGATAATGACAATAGTCTGGAAGGAAGTATCTGTCTCATCAGCAAAATGAACTTCTTGGCTATCAAAGGTCCTCCTGTCTGGAAAGCTGTGTGCTACCTCACAGATAGTCTTCTGTTTGTACTTACACTGGAAAACTCAGCATTCTTCTTAGCAGCACTCTGATACTACAGTATAAATCTCCAAAATTAAAACCTTAGAGTAAGCAAAAAAGGGACATCAGTGTATATTAGAGTGGAATTTAACACTGCTCTGAGATAAGGTCATTTTGGAAAGCCTTTCAGCTGGAGCTGGTAACAGAACATAACCGTATTTTATCAGCTGGCTCACAAGAGCTCCTTATTATCCTTCCCTAATGGGAATGGAATCTCTATCACCACCTTGATACTCAGTATTATTTAGGTCATGACTCCAGCTGTCACACCCTTCTCAGGATTCCTCTTTCTTCTTCTTTAGGAATCACTCCTAGCAGTCAGTGGGTAGCTGTGACACAGACAACATATATCTGCATAGGTGGATATGTATATAAAGAAATATACATATACTCACTCTGGTACTTCCCCAAAGCCTTCCAAAGGTTCAGCTTCAGCTGCATATATCTTCGCATACTCTCTTGCAGTATTTTGGACATAGCATTCCTATATTACAAACAGATATGCCTATGGAATATTACTCCAAACATTTAACAGATCATCTGTCTGAATATTTGCAAGACAGCTGTTCCCCACAATTCTTGCTTACGAAGAACAGGGGAAGCTTACCTGCAGTGCTAGTCTGTAGTTCTTTTGAACCAGATCATCCTTACTCTTGGTCCCATACGTGATCGCGTTGTGCACTTTGAGAACGCAGGGGTGGCCAGGGCTGAACACCGGCACGAGGCCCTGCATCACTTTGCTTCGGAAGGCTTTCCGGTGCATGCCTTCACCAAAGTGAAGCTCTTCTGTAGCTATTATTCCGTGCAGGTTCCCACCAAAATAGCTGTCACTGATGAAATCTTCTCTGAACATGAGCTGCATGAATTCAATTTCTTCCACACCTAAAACACAACACAACATCCTTCTGCAGGGTCATGAAAGGGGTGGACATGGGAGAATCCATCTCTCCAGAGAGTACAAAAGAAAATGCTCAAGGGAAACAGAATACATGGCTTCCCGTGCGCCAACAGGGGCTGGGACCCTGCTCCTCCAAAGGCAGCTTGTTTCCTGTAGTGTCTAAAGCCAGCATGGAGAAAGGGGGCCGCTCGGGTTCATAAGGAGAGCATGCAGAGCGCAGCAAACAGAGCTTGCTTTAGCTTCCAGCCTGGAATCTTTTCAGTGAAAGATTCTGACAACATGTTTGTAGAGGCACTCAGCTGAAAGAGGTCTCAGTCCTTATCCAATAGAACCATGACGGAAACACGCCTTTCCTAGTACCAGCCACACTCTACTACAGCTCCAGTGCTGCAGACTGGCATTTTAGAGTGTTTAATTGGGCAAGCACCAGCTTAAAAACAGGTTCATTAGCAAAGGTAGAAGAAAATAACAAGATTTTTACTTGATAAGTGATTTTGAGTAAGAACCACATTTTTATAAATGACCATGTCGGTTTCAATCAGGAAGCAACTACAGCAATTTTAGTGATCTTTATACTCAGGGGAAATTGGTACAATAATATTTCTCTTATCCCTCCACCTGTGGATTTTGAAGGTACCAGTAGCAGAAGAATGTGTGCCTAAGTTTGTTACAGCTGAAATCAAGCAGGATTATGCCTTTCACCCTTTTAAATGATCACTGGAATACCAATGGGAAAAAATATAGGGGGAAACAGAAGTGAGAGAAACTAAAAATATCTAACTGCACTTCAAGTCTCTCTAATCACAACATTTCAAGGACCACCAGTGGAAAAGATAAACAGGAGAACTACGTGGCAATGAAGTCCTTCCAGCTCCCCTCTGTAGCTACCCTCTGGTTTGGACTCTCTACGCGATTGCCTCTCTTTGAAGCACAGAGGAAACAGTGCACGTACAAAGCTAGAATTAGAAGGCTCCTTAACTCCACCTAAAATTCTCTGTTGATTGAAAGTTATACAGTGCTGTTACATGAAAAGTTCGGTGTTCATTTTAACAAGGAACTAAATGTTTTATTTTATTCTTCTAGAAAAAGAAAGAAAAATCAATTGGCTAAATTAAGTACTTGGTTAGCACTGTCTGTTCAGAAATGATAAACCAATTTTCAATGCACTGTCTATGTTTAGCTGCAGCACAGCAAGACATATGCCGAGTGTGATTAAACACAAGGTAACGTGGGTAAAGCATTCCGAACCTTCATGGCCATCTTTCTCTTGGAGTAAAGTTACGTAGCGGGTGACTTGCAAAGACCATGTGTTGGAACACCACTAGCAAGTTTTTCCACTAAAAGAGCTTTCAGTACTGTGTGTGTGTCCAAGTCTGTACAATGCAATGCAATGCTGCTCCACTGTCACTGGTGCTGGTGCACCAAGGTAATGAGACATTACACAGCCAAGTTCAAACCAAGGGTTTGGCACAGCGGGTCCTCCATCACCCTACACAAACCATTCCATCCTACATGAGGGTGTTTCACCTACAAAACTCCCAGGAGTTAAAGGGTGTTTTATCTTTGATGGTACAGCACAGGTGACTGCAAAAGGGGAAAGACAGCCAGCAAAATCCCTTCAAGGGATTCCCATAGTTTCCCATGGGATAACTGTCAAAATGTCTCAGTCTGGTTCTATTCTTCCATCCTTTGTTCTATTTGGAAATCAGAAGGAACAAAGATTTGAGCACACATTCAAGCAGACGTGTGTACTTACCTTTGCAATTCTGAAAACTTGAGAGACATTCCAATACTACAAGGAAACAAAGAAACAGGTTTTGTAGTAAAAAAACTATTAATGGAAACTGACGTTATCATGATTATTAATTAAAATTATAAACTGGGATTTACCTTCAGAAGTCAGATTAAACTCAGCAGTCACCTTTCCATACACGTTACTCAAGCAGCAATAATACATTCCCTGGTCTTTGTTACTGGCTTTAGCTATTGCCAAAGAGACAGGAGAGTCGTCCTGTGCACTGGAACAAAACATGGTAATTTTCCACATTAATATTTTTAAAAGATCTTTACTTATTATTCCATATATCTCTCCTCCTGTCCCTGGAATTTCTGGCCGTCAGTGCAAAGACTGATTCAAATATGATGCAAGTAGACAAAATACTTTATTTCACCCTACTTACAAGCATTCAGCCTCGTACATGTTTCACAAGAGATGATCCTACTACATTCTGAGAGAAAAGTACCCAATCAAATAAAAAAATAATTAAATCACATCAAAAGACATTCTGACATTCCTATCAATATCACAGGCAAATGTACGAACATAAGAGACCAAAGTGTTGTACGCTGTTCCTCAGTATCGACTCCTCGCTCAAGCCTCCTCTGTTCCTTTGCTTTTTCCAAGCCAGCTCTTTGCTCTCTGATTCTGTGGAGAATTTCACAATGGATCAAAGGCAGTACTGACAGACCCAAGCTGGCTCTGGCAGCAATAAAACCCCACTGAAACAGTGCTATGCCTGAGGGAAAAGTCCTCTTAGACCATGAAGGTGTTCCTGTGTACCGCAGTGGAGGTCCATGGCAGTATTTCTCAGCAAACCACACAGTCTCTGCAGGGATTATGGAGACATGGCTGTTGTGCTTTAAAGCTTTTGTGATGTGAATCAGTGAAGGCGTGCAGAGTTTTGCTCGCAGCATGAAGTTTCATGATACTTGGGCACACTGGAGAACATATTTATCCAACAGCAGCTCTTACATTAAATTACTTAGCATGTATTAATATTACTAGCAATGTGTACTTTTCAATACACATTTCCGTGTGTTGACAGGTAATAAAATTAAAGATTTGTTGCCTAATTTCCTGTGAACACCCCCTATTGAAAGTAAAAGCTAAAATGGACCGAACAGGACAGATTATGTATTTCTGTAGATTGACGTACATTTCCAAAAGAAGAAACAGTGCTTGGGTACACAAAAAAAAATTAGTTAGATTTTGATTGTGATGGAAAGGAGATTCCCACTGAACTCTACTGAACATTTTTGAAGTAAAAATGGTAATTAGAAATCTCTCTTACTCTAAATCTGTTATATATTTCACTTCCATTACAACATTTTGAAATATATTTATCCTATGAAGTTAACCAGGCTGAGAGGAATTACTGGTGATGGAATGCAAACTATGCCAATATTCATGCACTCTGTGAAGATAATTAATTACCCTTCTTAACTACCCTGTTGAAACTTATTTTTTGCACCTATCATACTAACCCTCCTAGCAGGTACAAGGGTGAATGACTGTCGTCTTTCACCAAAGCTATTCAGAAACCACCAGTCCTTCAGAATCATTCACTCACCTTCTCTGCAGTCGAGCTAGTAACTTGGAATCTTTAGTCCATGTAACGGTGGAGTCACCATGAATGTCACCAAATTGACAGCATAGCTTAATATTTCCAGAGCAGTCAGGGAACAACTCTGCTTGGATTTTCTTCAGCAGCTTGGGAGCTTGAAACAGAAGAGGCACAGTGTAGGATTAGAAGATAATGATACTGCTTTGGCATTTTAAAGGAATCCCAGAATGATTTGCAGATGTTAAGAATATGAATCTGACAACACTGGTAAATAATTATTATTTCTTCTGATGCAGAAACCAAGGCTTTATAGTACAGAGGTTTTAAAAGACTGATTCAGTGCCCCCCACAGTCAATGGAAATGTTTTCAATGCAAAGACATTTTGAATGTATGGAATAGGACCCCAGGGAAGTTCTAGCCTGAAAAGGCATCGACATAAAATTTCTTAATCTAAACATGTTCTCTCTGACTAAAGGACCAGCTGGTTTTATCAGTAAAAAAAAGACACCACAGAGGTACAGCATACCATGTGGCTACATAATGAGAACTGATATTAGCTGAATACTTGTAACTCGTTGATTTTTAAACTGATCACAGCCTTTGAGAGAAAAGACTTTAAGTCCCAGGAGACGCTCAGTCTCCAACGTGTTAGTGGAACATACCTAATGCCCACTGCCAGGATGAGACTCTTTGCAAGATGCAGTGATGGCACCATTTCCTTTAAACGCAGCTGGAGGGAGGAACCCATGCTTAGTGGTTAGACATTTGCATTTGGAAATGTCAGTGACCTTTGCTTCCCTCTTCAGTTTCAAAGGATTCATTTCCCACTGCTAAAGAAAGTCCCTACCTTTCCAGCCACAGCACACGGTTCTTTTGCTAAACATTGGCCGTTGCACAGAACAAGTCCAAGAATCATGCAGCTTACAGAAAGAGAGCACTCTGCCCAGTCTGGGGAAGGTCCTGATAACCTAGCTCCCTGCTAAGAATTGTTTTCTCTCTCAAACAACACTCCAGACTTTTCTGCGCGTGGGCAGGGTGTGAATGGGAGGATGGGGAGTACTTGGAAAGAAAGGGAATCAGCATATACTTAGGGAAGGGTTTTGGGATCATGAGACACCCTGAGCTCAAGTGAGACATCCCTGCTAGAGGTAAGGGCTGGAAAATGCAAGATGTTGTGTTTCCTACTGTGTTCATCTGAGCGGCTGCACTCCCAAGGAGCTGGTGTGACACATCTCCCTCAGGCATCCCATCCCAGCAGTCTAACTGTCCCCATCTAATGCTGAAGGAATGCTGGATCCAGCTCGAAGGGTCAGGCACCTGGAATTCACTGCTATGTTTAACTTGTAGTCACTTAAGTCCTTAGGCCTTGAATCTTGCTGAATCAGGGCTAAAATGACGCAGACAGTATGTGACAGGACTGTAAATAGAACTGCCAGCTCCAGATTCCCTGCCCTAACCACAAAGTCGTCCATCCTGCTGCTGAAAATACTACAAAAGAGAACACTGAGCAGATAGCAGGCTGACCGTGCCAGCCTCCCCACAGTGCTGGGCAGGGGCCCGCACAACCTCTGAAGGGTTGCAAACATACATTCATTTCAGTCTAGACTGAAGCAGATCAGAAGCAGGTTAAAAAAATGCAGTCTTGTCTGATGCAAGCTGGAATGTTTAAAACATTTTCCAAGCATAGCCTCAGGTACAGGGAAATAAGTCGGGCGTAGCTCAGTAAGTGCAGTTTGCTTGCTCTGCTTTGAAGGAATGTGTCTCTCCTCCCACACGTTTGGTTCTCTGGCAAAGGACACATCTTCAAACAGAGAAAAGTTTGGGGTTTTTCTGAATGTGATTGCGAAAGCAGAGCTCTCACCAGACTGCAGTGTAATCAGAGTCTCTGAAGAGCTTCATAATTGTGTAGCTTACCTTTAGTCATTGTTCAGTCTTGCTTTGATCTACGTTTTTTTTATGATGTGAACATGAGATGTAATGTCACAAGGTAAAAATAAGAGCTTGGTCCTTGCAAAGTGTCCATAGGAACCACAACACCTCGTCTGTCTAGCTGTTCCACTGTTGGTACTCCTGTCTGCATTTTGTTTTACCTGCTAGCAACCTCCTAGAGACTCTGACAAGCAGGCTGAATCTCATTTCAGTTCTACGTTTTCTATGTCCATTTAATATTGCTGATTTCATCAGTGTCATTGATGACCAACAGTGGTGAAAAGGAATGCAGAATCAGCCACCAGCCAGCAGGCAAAACGGGAAAACCTTCTGTTGACCAGTGGCACCCTACTAATAACAATAATATCTGGCTGGTACTAAAACCATTTGGTAACCAAGAAAGGGTAACTGCATTTGGGAGCTGCAGTGCAGAAGTGTAACTGGGAACACAGCCCTGCGGGAGCTGAACACCGCGCAGTGCTGGGCCTGCGGGTGCTCTGTTGTGTGGAGTTACGGGGTACCACTACGCTATACACCCCTGAAAAGTTACTCCAAGGGACAAATGAAGAAGTAACTATTTCAAACAGGTTAAAAAGTTCATAAATTATATTTGCCAGCTAGGAAAAGGATGTTAGGGAGGGTTCTGCTCTGTAGTATGGGGACAGTGCTAGTCACTAAGTTCACAGAACTGGAAATTAAAATCAGTGAGGGCAGGACACCTCTAGCTGATATGATTCAGGCCAAAGAAGGCTTGCAGGCTGTTTAACAAATGTGAATTTTGTACTGCAGCCAGAATTATGGGACAGGACAGAAATTAAAATCCTTTTTCTCTTACCTTTGCTATCCTTTTTCAAAATTAGTTTCCTTTGCTCTTTTCTATCTTCTTTATGAATTACACCTGCCTCACTCTTCACAGGCTTTTTAACACAGCCAGGATCCTTGCTGACCTTTCCTCTCTCCTCTAGTCGGGGTTTTTTTGACAGTGTTGCTGGTGGTAATTTCTTCTTAGCTCCAGAAGCTAAATGCCCACTCTTTGCTGTGTCCTGTTTACATCTGATAGGCTCAGGCTCAGCAGCAGTTGGTAACGTCCGGTAGGATTTTGACGCTTCTTGGTTTCTCAGCCTTTTCACATTGACTGGGAACGGCTCAGAGGGAGTCAACACTACAGAGAACGGCTGAGCTCTGCTGTAGGGCGGTTGCTCTTGAACATACTGGTTGTTCCCTGAATCAACTGGTGGTAAATTAACTAAACCACTGACTGTGCTCCCTGATGTCATGACTGCTTCATCTTTATCGTACTCAGTAGTCTTAATTGAATTATCAGCCACAGTTAGCTTGCTGGGAGAGATCAAGTCAGGACAGGACTGCTGAGTGCTAACGTTCATGAACTGTCTCTGAGCCTGGGAGCTAACTGAGGTGTGCACAGGAGGCTGTGTTTCAGCTTCATTTGGGTTATGTTCAATAGCTCTTGGAATCTCTTGCTTGTTTTCTTCAGGGACTCTGAGGAACTGATCCTGCAATGCTCCGCAGAAAGGTTCCGGTGTACTCCGATTTTCATCTGCTTTGACTGCAGGTTGTGTGGATGTACTCCCTGTGCCAGGACATCCCATTGCCGACACACTGGTAAGAAAGTCCTCTGACTGGCTTGCAGGTGTGAGGAATGGCAGTGTTTCCTTCACAGCCCGTTGCTGGCTATCTGACTGGTTCTGGGTATCTTTATAACCCCCGTTTGCTATGCTGTGGTACTCACCTTGAGCCTTGCTAGGCACTGGGGTGCTAACTGATGTTACACTTCCAGATGAATATGTGTGATTTTTTGAAGAATCTGTTTTTAACTCATCAGACTTGGTGGTGCTGTCAACAAAAAATATGCGTTGTTCTGATGTATTATGAGGGGAAACTGCAGTCTGACTCTCTGGAACATGACTAACTCCTGAGTCACAGGAAGTTTCATCCCTTTGTTCACCACCTATGCAAACCTCTCTCTGTTCTTCTGTTTTACCTGATTCACATCTGGGCCCTTCTACATAAAAATCTGTTAAAAATGGATCCTCAGAAGAGGGAGTGAATGCCACTTCTTGCTTTTCTATTTTTGTCAGTTGGTCTGTATTTTGGGGTAGATTCTTACGTATTGTGGTTTCGGGAGTCTTAATTAAATTAGGCAATTGCGTTAGGTAACCGTATTTCTGTGCATTAGAAGCAACTTGAAAATCTTGACAGTCATTATTTTTTGAAAGATGGTAACTGTCAGAATTAGTGTCAGTTTGTGCATTCAGGTCTGAGTGATTTCTTTTTTCTTGTAAATTCTCTTCATAACTTTTGTGTATGGTGTTAAGAGAAGAGTGTTCTTCATGTATAAACGGACTGGTATTTTGACTGGGGAAAATGTCTTTCTCTTTGGAGAAGTAAGCCAGTTCTTTTCTTGCTGGATAACAGCCTCTTGAATGACACCCTCTGCCAGTTACAGACTCATTTATCACAGATATGTTGTGCTTAGTATGAAGGAATTGTCCAGTTGTCCCATGCGACTTTTCTGACGTGTAAGCTGGGTCTTCTTTGTCACACGCTAAATGACTACTCTGACCATCTTTCAGTCTTTGAGGAGAATCTGCCTCACATGTCTGGGAAGCGTTATTAGTGGCAAGCTTTCCTTCCCAAGCAACAGTCATTTGAATGGATCCATTCCTGTCAGTTGAAGTTTGATTTGGTTTCTGCTCCAAGCGCTCCCCTGTATTTAAGACGATACTATTTGTTGAAACACAAATGGACGGTGTTTCCATTTTATTTCCAATGCCAGCATCTAGAGACATACCATCTGTTTCTCCCACTTGTGTAAGACAAATGTTTCCTGTGGATGCACTGTTACATGCTTCATCTGTTTCAAGGAGGCTAGCAGAAACATTGCAGCCTTTTTTCTCTGTCCTTTGGCTCCTAGCTGGCTGCGTAAGAGGTTCCTGCTCTTCTGTCACATTTCTTGGCAAAGGATGATCAGAACAGGTCTCCTGTGCAAAGTTCAGTTCAGTGACTTTGATCTTTCTCGGCCTAATTTCTAAACTTGTGACCCCCCACCTTTCAAATGGGATTTGGTAGTCTGAGTCATCTTCATGAAGAAGTTTCCACAGGTTGTCATGCACTGCAGATAGATCAGCATCTCCTTTGCACCCAGGTCCTCCGGATTCCAGGACTGACTTGGAATTAGCTTCCAACAGAGATTCACCACATGACGGATGGCAGAGAACGTCTGTGTCATTGCTACTGTGTGAGTCCAAACTACACCTTAGCTCTCCCTCCCTTGGCTCATCACACAGCTTTGCAGAAGAGAGAACAGCACATAAACGTTCTTGTTTATCAGGAACAGAGTCCGTATCCCATAAAGGAAAAGGTGAAACGTCACTCTTTGATTTGCTGCCATTACTAATAATATTAATCCCTTGTCCACAGAAGACTTGTTGGTGACAACTTCCTCTCTTATCATAAAGACCATGGTGTTGAGAAGAAGTCTGTAAATTTTCATTTTTCACCTGTAATGTCTTTTCAGTACAGAGCACTTCTGAAGCTGGATGGATGGTTCCTGCACTCTCACAAGTCATGAAGATGCCTTCCTTTTCTATTTCAGGCTCCACACCCAGTCGCTCACAATGCTGGGTAAAGATTTTAAGATTAGCATCTTGATCCTACAAAGAAGAAAAAAAGAGAAATGTAATTAAAAATTAGAATTGCTGTTTGACACAGGCCTGAACTAGAGTCCTGGCTTGAAATTCACGAGGTTTTTATTTGTTTTGGTTTGGGTTTTTTAGTATTTTTCAACCGTCAAGTTTCTGACTTGTAGCTATCAACCTAATGGATTGAAAACAAACTCCTGGATCTTAATAGCCTTGAACCCTGGTAAGTTTCAGATCTGGATCCAGATGCTGGGAAATCTAAAATTTAATCAAGATGAAGATCAATGACTGACATAGTCCAACTGGTTAAAAACAGATTAAATAAAATAAAACAAAACAAAACAGTCATGCCTATGCCTTTTGCTAACAGTTGGAGTGTCCCACCATATTTATGTAATTATTACGTGATCCAAACGGATGCGTTTCTGGAACTACCCCAGGTAGTTTTGTGGGAACTTGCCTTCCCCTTTGCTTCCATCATGGGCATTGTTATCTTGTCACAAAGATGCTTTCTCAATATGTATCAGTCTTGAAAAGTTTCACAGAATGCACCCCACCTGTGCCTCGCTATGTACTACAAAACAAGACTCCTAACAAGAAATTAATGTCTCTGGATCAGTTTTAAGCTGTCTTCAAGATTTGTCTTGGGTCACCTCTGCCCCTTGAGGTGACAAGTCCTGCTACAAAAGGGAGTGCCAGAGATCATTCCAAATCCTGCCCCTGCCCAGGTGGGAATGAGTTTCCCTGTACAAGGCATCTTCAGCCCTTCTCTAGCAATGAGATGTGCACTGCAACCTTAGGGGTACTGCTGGGAAAATTGGGGCAAGAAATAAAAATCCAGATTCCTGCTGCATCTCCTTTATACTTCTATATCGAAACATTACGAATTGTCAGTTTCTGTAGAAACAATCCATTCCTCAATTAAACTAAGCCAAATTTAATTCAATTAAACTAAACCTAATTTTGCAAGGAGTGCAGACCTTATGCAAGAGAACAACTGTCTGATGTTGGGGCTTGCATGGGATGAAGAAAGTGCTGCCATCTGCCTGGCATACAAAATCTGTTGAACTGTCCACCATTCCCCTCAGAACTGAGCATTCACTCTTAAATACTTGTTCCGGAGTCTCTGCCAAGCTTTTGTTCTCCAGGATTTTCTCTAGTCCTCTTCAGCACTAACTCAGTTCCATGGAGATGGTGAGCATGTTTCACCCAGAGCAGATCATAGATGGAGAAGCCTACAATTTTTTACTAGAAAAAAATACATTATTTCATAAACTAATTGTGCTTTACGGTTTTGGTTACCACTCATTTGCCAGAACAATCTGTAAAAGCAGAGAGCAATTTAGCAGTCAACATTTGAAAAAAAAAAATTACTTTCAAATAGCCATTAATAGGATACAACCACATGGACCTCATGAATCAGTTTGTACACTTGACCAAGTATCCTTCCAGTGGTTGTCTGAAGCTTTGCACCTACTCCCAGCAGAAATGAAGAAATGCTAAGAAACATCAGACTGAGTTTAAAAAACACCAATATTTTTAGACATTTTCAATTTTTTAGCTTTTATCCAGCCACAAACTCAACTTCATAACTGTTTGGGTTATTTTTTTTTCCTCGTGAGTCCCAGTTCCATCCATAGTTATTTGTTAACTTGTAATGACGTGCTGCATGGCTGAAATTATCAACTGTGGTGATACATAATGGGCGAGTCCCCTGAGCTGTAAATGTGTAATGAGTGCTGGCAGACACATAATTCAGAGAAGCGATCCTGAAAAGAAGCAAGTATTTTTACTTAGTGAAGGATATGTAATGAAGGTTTTCCCATGAGTTGCTGTGTGCTCAGGTAAAGGCAGGGGCTGCTCAGACACTAGGTGCTTAGTTTCCATAAGTTCATGGTAAAAGGATTACCGGCTGTAGTAAATATTGCTTTCCTTTGCTGCAAAAGCCACCCACTTCAGCTGCCATTCCTTTCATCCTTTCTGTTTCTCCATTCAGCTTGAGTAGGATGTGGAGCTGACTACATGCTGTGGACAATGGGGAAGGAAGAGATATAGAAAATTTTTGTCAATGACTTTAACTGCTGTTCCCACCCCAAGCACCATACAGTTGCCACACTGTCTTCAAAACTCCTCGGCCAGTGCGTACTTACCTAGAAACCCTGAGCCTAGGACCCAAAGCTCCACAGCTGCAGTCCTCTCTCATTACCCACACCTTGGTCTCCTGCTCAAGCCTGCGGTGCAGGACGAGATGCCAGTCTCTAGGTCTTTGAGCTTAGATGCAGACCTCTCGGGTCAGGGGGATGTGAGCCTGGACATGTCTCTACAGTCTCTACCAGTTCTCTTCTCAGTCGGTTCTGAGCATCTGGTCTGAGCCTACTGCTCCTTCTGCCACTTCCACTTCCTCCTCAAACCTCTGGAAAGCAGAATTTATTTTTCTATTCCTTGCAGCCACAGCAGCCTCAATCATAGCTCATACTAAAACCTGTGGAATTCTTGCTGAGTGTGTCAGACTATCATTCCCCACCTGCTGTTGGTATGAAACTGAAAACAGACAGATCTCCCATGCCCACTGCAAAGTGGGCTGATGATGTCAAGAACCCTTTTCTCTGTCTATCTAATTTGTGTGTTTGTCTGTGTTGGCATCTGTCTGTCTCAAACATTTATAGACACGCAGCACTGTAGAGTCTGGACACACATTTGGATAGCTGGAAAAGAAATACAGTGACAAAAGAGGGCTTGTAATGGAGGGCCTTGCCTTGTGTTTGGCAAAAGTAGGTCTGAAAACAGAATGCAATTTGAAGCCTCATAGTGGCACATTTATAGATTTTTAATTGATATTTAACAGAGATATGAGCTCCTACAGTATGTGTTAATCAGCTCCATGCTATTTTTGTTTGAAAGTACTTATATCCAAATCCTTTAAACATGTTTTAGGAAACCTTGCTGGCTTTAACTTCGGTATTTTCTTTGAGCAGATTTATTTCCGCTAACACAGTCCTAAAACATCTTGATTTGTTCCCACAGAAGATTTCTAGGGTTTAATCCCATACCTTGTGACAATTCCTTCAATTACTGGACAGTCTGCTCAACTCCAAGGGTGACAAAAGCATGGTAACAACCTAGGGAATGTAATTATGTGAATGCAGCAGAACAAGCAATTTTAATTTGTGAGTGTGTAACAAACTGCCTGGTGCTTGGTGACAGAAAGATGAAATCAGAGTTCTGTATTTAAACTCACACATGAAATCTATGGTCCGTGTACCCTTACTATAGAGCCATGGTTACTGTGAATAAGGGAGGGATAAACAGGTGAGCCTGTTACATAATAGCTACGTAAAAGGAAAATCCAAACAGCCACTTCAAAACCATAGCTTTTTTTAATCTCTTGTAAAATCACGATGTAAGGAGGACCCTTCCTTGGTTTTTCTGCCCTGCTAACAAGACCCGCTGTGTTCCAAAGCCTGACAGGAACAATTAAAGGAAAAGCAAAGAAGGACCATAGAGAGTAAGTGAGCGCTTTTGTCAGCTCTGAGTTATGGGAGGAAATAGAGGAGAATATGGGAGAGAAGAAGAAATTTTAAGGATTCTACTTCTTCATGGCAATTTGATATCAGGAACTTTTTCACCTGACAGTCTCTGTGGAGATCTAGAAGACATAGGCGACCAGCTGATGACCTACGGACCTGCAAAACGTTTTACAGGTGAAGTGAGCTTCCCCCAGAATGTTTCAAGTCATCTCTTGAAACACCTCTTGAATGTTTCAAGTAACCTCTTCCAGTCACCAGGAACCCAGGAACAGCACTGGCTCTGCGGCCTCAAATGTCACCGTGAAACTGATGCGTCCCTTCAGCCCAAGCTGGGGTGGTATCATGCAGCTCAGTGGCCAACATGTTACATTTTTTACTGTTTCTTTGAAAGGTTTTACTGCCATACTATGCTTGGAGATTGCTAAGTAACTATGCAAGTTACGCAGCAGTTTAAATCAGGGCTAGATCAAAAATATATTTTTCTGAAAACAAAGCTGTGGCTCTGGAAGCCACCGACTCTCTTGTGGCAACATTTATGTTGTTTAGTTGCCTTGCACCCTCGTTCTTATTTGGGTATTTGCACCCAGTATCCCACGTTCGCCCCTGCGAGCTCCTGCCCCTCAGCTCAGGCTCGGATCATTCCCTGGGAACGTTCAGCCCTCATCTCAGCCAGACTAGGGCAAAAGCCTGAGACAAGACCGCCTTTGCAAGTGAACGTACCGGCCCCTCCAGCCTGTTAGAAAGGATGAGGTGCAGCCTCTCGGATTCTCACGTTGGCTCTGTGGCACACAGTATGAATGTAATATTCACCAACAACGCATGCTGACCCCTTAACAGAGAGTTATTCTGCATCCAAGGGCTACTAAGTGCAAAACTTCCCAATGAAGTGAAAAACTTTGAGAAATGAGAGACCTAATGTCTGCTAACATTCAAAGTCAGAAGAGATTTGGATGCCAGCTTCCTCTGTCGTACGAAACAGATTTAGGCAAACTGTTTTTTCAAAATTCTGACAAAAGAACTGTGAGCAGGGGCAAGTTGTACCAAGAGGGAGCAAGAATACACATCTCATGAAAAATTATAACTGACTAGGTTTTGAGCTCAGATAACCAGAAAACCTTCATTTTTTCCCAGCAACTATTAATTCAAATGAGACAAGAGACAGAGACGTACTTTAAAAACATTTGAATGAAAAATGAAACAACTAGAAGCTGATTGAAAATGATGCATTGGGCATGCACAGTAATTCTTACTGATTTCTGTTTGGAACAGAAGTCCTCACCCATTTCGTATTCAAAGCCAGCCATTAAAACAGTTCCCACCCAACAGCTATTTACTGGCCCAGGTGAAACCATTTGCTGGGTTTCAGTCTAACTCCTCACAGGCAGAGCTAACCTGTCGTAACTGCTCTGACACCCTTTCAGTTTCCTTCTGCTCTTCCTCTGCTGTGTGACCCAGCTGCATGCCCTTTTCCCAGGTGTTTCTGCACGTTGCTCCCCAGCGCACGCCCTCTCCGGGACAGCGCTGGAGGGCAGCGCACATGCCTGGCACCCACGTTTCTGCACTCACTGCAGGGCAGGGAGCTCTAACTCAAGAGTGCCACAGCAATGGAACACTCTAAATCACAGTTCTCCATCACACCTGGCAGCTTCTAGGACATCATCCGCAGCAGCAGCTAGCCACTACGAACGGACCCGGGCCAGCAGCCCCGCACAAGAACAGCTTCACAGGCCTCCGCAGTCCTTGCCACTGTGGCTGCCCTGGAATCTCACAAAGCAGAGGGATTACATGCTAGACAAAACACTTTTTGTGCACAATCAGATTACCCCATTACCTGAAGTTCCGTGTCAGTTCTGCTTCTCTCCTTTTTGTATAATGAAATCTCAGATTATCTAGATGTGATGTAAATGTATGTCAGGAAGGTCAAACCACGTCTCTCTCAAATTTTATAAGAGGCTGTTCTGACATGAGAGAAAACAAAATAACGGCAGGGAGGACGGTAGACCTAGTTAGCGGGGAAAAGAAATACACAAGCACCACACGCCATCCTTCCCAGGGTATCAGTGGCAACATTCATTATTTTGCCTATGCCCTGGAATCCCTCTGAACCTGCCAGTTCCAGCAGGACTTCACCACCACCGCTGGCATTCAGCAGGCCATAGACACGGGCTCTGTAATTCCGGAGTGGCACCAGTACTCTGTGCCGGGGGTGCTGGCTGAACACGAAACAGAGACCGGCTCTTACAGAACGCACTGCAAGCTCGAAGCCTCCCGGCTCCCTGTACAGTTTGTAATATCACACAGCTGGCACCATTGGCTTTTAGGACCTGTTATTAACTAAGCTGCTTTGAAGCACAAGATAAACATTTCACCTGGGGCTAGACCATCAGATTGTGAGAGGAGCCAGGAGCCTCCCACCTTGACCATCTGACGGGAGGGGAAGTCGCCCAGACTGTCCTGCACGCGACAGGCTGCAAAGGTTGTTCAATCAGAGGCAACTCGGCCCTAAGGGGAATTGTCATCAGCGCTGTGGTTCTGTGGCTGCCACATACCCCTCAGCAAACCCGATTCACCACCTACAACGCTCTTCAAAAGCAGTCAGCTGGGTTTTTTTGCCCAGACCCTCACCTTGCTCCTGGCAGAGCTGTCCCAAACGACGGGCTCCAGCTGATACCACAGTGCACCTCTACACAAACCTGTGTGCAGCAACGGGAAGCTGACTCTTTCTTGCCTTTCTCAGGTTACACAAGCACATTGCTGAGGAGTTTCTGCCTTACTATGCAGGAGCTGCAAGAAGCTGTCCACATTTTGAGAAGCTGTCCACATTTTTCGTGCTATAAAGAGCAGTTTCCAGATGGGATGCTTTTGTCTGGCTCATTTTCAAGACCACATAATTTGGAACCTACACCTAAATTTCATCTTCATTCACATGTGTTTAAAACCAGGCATTCTGTCTGGGCTCCTCTCTAGCCCTTTTGTGTACACCGACACTTCTTTCCTACTTAATTTTTACCTAATGTAAAATTTTGATCATGGACACACAAAGAGAAGAAATAAATACTGCCCGCAGGTAGCCAGAGTCTAGCTAGCCAGTCTGAAATCTGGCCACGGCTCTTACAGTAACGTAACAGCTGCTTTTTGCTAAGAGGCTTCTGGGTTTTAAATTATTGTACTGCACTTCGGAAAAAATGAAACAATGCCTCCTGCAAACCTTGGTAATACATACTGCCAAGAAATTCTCAGTAGGTTACTTTCAATAGGGGGGTATTCTCCATCACAGAAACATTGCTGCTAAAATGTGATGGGAGTTTTATGTACTAGAAAACCAGAGAAACCTATGGATGTTTTGTCAGGCAGAAGAATTCAGTGACTTGTGACTGCTTAAGACAGCCCAGTGGTGAGACTGAAGTCAGGTCACTACCCAGAATTGGGAGACATTTTTGTTTAAATAATATAGATGAAGAAAAGCATGTGGAACTGGAAAAAGCTTGTAGTTATTTGTCATAAATCTTTTTTTCTGCACAGTTAGCTGTGCACCTTCAAATCAGTAAAGTCAGTGATAATAAGATTATTCATGACTTAATACTCATATATTTTTTTCTATATCTTGAGTCTTTACTATGTGAAATAAAAAATATTATCCAGTTCTCCAACTTATGAAAACTGGTGGAGCATCATATCAGTCTGCACAACTATACTGATTTCCCCAGTTGATTTCCTACCAACAGCATAAAATATGCAAGTATAGAGAGAGTACCACTTTGGGTTTCTTATTTTTATCTGTTTTTTACATTTCATCAGGAATATCTGACTCCATTGTTTTATTTTTAAAAACCAAAGCTCCATTCACCTCTGTAACATGAACTCTCCAGATTAAATTCCCCTCCTTGTTATAAATTCAGAGCAAACCCCTGGTGATTTGATTTAGATTTCCAGCATCACAACTGGATGGCAATTTCCTTCTTTGAGTATAAACTGAAAAGAACGTCAATCGAAACATTCTCTGCTCACAATAGGTATTTGAGAAACTTTCTGGGTTGAAAGAAACGTTCCTTTGAGAAGACCTGTCCAACAGCCTGCATATCGGATTTCCCTATCCAGCTGTCCAGAGTCCCATTAGTGCCTCTTACTATTATCAGTCTCACTCTATAATTAGAACAGCTTATAGTTTATTTGGGCCTTCTTCAAAACCAGATTTCCTTCCCAGCCGCAGCTGTCATTCAGAAGTACGTGAATAGTATCTTTTAAAGTAATTTACATTTTACATTATTTTGTGGACAAACAGGAATAAAATGCATCTCAATCAGTAGAGCAGCTCTTTCTATTAAATGATAAACGCTTTACTTACCCTGGGTGAGAGGTTTTCATTTGGCATCTGATTTTGCTCAGAGAGGCCCCAAGTCCTTTTCCTTTCCCAGTGACAGTCTTTATCCGCCTCTTCTGCGTGACACAAACCAGCCTGCATTTGCAAGCTTTCCGTCTCCTCAGAGATTTGTGTTGAAATGACACCTTCCTGTCTGGGAAACAGAGCACTGGATTCCCCAACCTCTGCTGCAGTCTGGAAAGACTGTCCTATATTACTTGCGTATTTGCAAAGCTCTTTAGGGTTTAACAACTTTAAAAGGTTTCTTGTAAGACTTTCTGTTAAGGTACAGACAGCATGCCTTGCATTTTCCTCTGGCAAATTTCTTGCCCTCTCCTCTAGCAGCAATGAGTTTTCACCCAGCAAGTCTTTGTCCGTGCTGTTTTCCGTCATCATCTCTGAAGCCTGATTTGTCAAAGCAGCACTTATGCCACTAGTGGAGAAGTCCGCCTTGGTACATATATTATCCTTGTTCTTGGATTTGTCAGTTGAGAAACTTGCAGCTGAGTGGCCACGTCCATTATTTTCTTCTTCAGTGCTGTGGTGGTCATTTTCAATGGCTGCAGATGCTACAGGCACTTTACACTCTTCTTTGTCTTTCAAACTGGTACTTCTATCTCGGTGGTGCCCAACAGCGAGAGTCATCTCTGTCTGCAGAGTTGACTGGCTGTACATAGAGGGGTCTCTCCTTACATTTACTCCTTTGAATTTTGAGTGATGCCCACAGAAGCCAATGGTGGTATCCATAGGCGTAGTGTTATCTGACACTTGGAACAGGCAAGGCATTTCACTGAGGAAGTAAGCACACCCGTCACAATCCTTACTCAGTTTTAAATCATCTTCATCATCACTTTCTAATAAAAACTGTAATTTCTTTTTCCAGATTTCATTTTCATGCACTGTCTGCACATCCAAACATTCAAAATACTCTAGGTCATCATCACCAGGAAAGTCATCACTTACACTTGGAATTTTCTCTGCATAAATCTCCAGAACAGCGGCAGAATTTTCAGAATCACCTTTTACGAGATAATTGTGATTTATTACAAGAGTATCTGCCTGCTCACTGAGCAGGGTGTTGGTAGTTACAAGTCTGCCAAGCCCAGCCTCTTTACATGCCTGGACATCTGCCAGAGACTGACCAGATACAGAGTCTTCCGTGTTAAGGCAACAGTTGTCTGTGTGATAAGCGACGGCGTTTGTAGGGTGGGAACACACCTGTCTGCTGCCGCATTTCTCTGCTTTTCCAGCAGTGACACTGACCATACTGTTAAAATTAATTAGGTCATCACCATTCTCTGACACATCCCTTAGGCAGGGAATATTCTCCTGGGTTTTAAATACATTTTTAACATCCATGTTGTCCTGCATGTTAGGGAAATGCCTGTGGAATTTCCCAATGGGGACAATACTGCTTTTCTGAGCTTCTCAAGAAGTAAACCACTGATTTTTGAAGAGTTAGAATCTGATGAACTTAACATGGAGTCATCCTCTTGTGTTGTGCAAAATGTTTCGTCTTCTGCTCATTTACCCTGAAGTTTCCCATGTTGTCATTTAGGTCAGCAACAAATTCTGGGGAAGTTTTGCTTTTTGTATCTGATTTCAGCTCAATAAAAGTCGAACAGCAGGTCATTCTAGCTGTCAAACTGTTTGCAGGTACTGGCCAACAAAGTGCAGATCTTGCTCTGTGCACCTGCAAATAAAAGAAACCTCAAGTTTAAAATTACTTTCAAAACAGGTATACATATTTTCTAAGAGATGGACAATTGATACATAGCTGCAAGCATTTTCAAAAAAGACAAATCATTTAAAAATCAAGATGAGACACTAAAGCAGTAACTATAACCCAGCTCTCTATGCAATGACAATTAATGGAAACACATTGTAACTATCTGGAGTGATTTGTGCTAGGAAAACAAATTGTCAGGCATGCCTGCACGTCCACATAGCAGCACCAAACAGGCTTTACCCTGTGTCATTTAGACATCTCTAAATGCAAACCGTAATCTGCAGACCATGTAAATTTTCACATGTACATGACTTCTTGAGTTGGCACCATAGTGACATAAATGCCAAAATCTCTTTGTAGAAATACCTGGAACAATCCAGTCTGTTTAGATTTTATAGGGCTATTTCTGTTGAAAGCAATTCTGTTGTATTGTGGCTTGATGTTTGTAATTTCTGTGGTGAGAGAAAATGAAATGAGGCTGGTTAGCTTCAATTTCCTCTTCATATTGAGTCTTACTTTCAAACAGCCAGGCAGTAGCAAAATGGTGTGGCAATGCGGATTTACACAAGAACAAAGTGAAACGCACCACTTCCATTAGCTGAATAAAAAATAAATAAATGAATAATTTCTCTCTTTTGTAAACAAACTCCTTGTCTCCTAAGTATTTCAAAATCTTGGGATTTTAGAGAGTTGAGGTGGATTTCCATACTACTAGAAGCACTCTGGGTCACTCTTCAGCACTGAGTGCCCACGCTAAAATCACAGCAGGACTCTCCGGCCATCTAGGGATCCACTCAAAAAGAGTAGCAGAACTGAGTTTCAAGTAAATTTGATCTCATGAAGGACGCCAGACTAAAAGCTCTGAAAAAGTGACCTATTTTTATTCACAGAACTGGTATGACATGAAGAACAGCAGGAAAAACTTTCTTGCCCTCCAGCTAATCTGAAGAAGCAATTTAAAGGCACTTCTATTCGTTCTCCTTTTCCTTCCCTCTGCTTCTCCCATTGTGACCTTCTTAGCTAATGTCTCTCTTCTGGCTGCAAGACCCCCAGCCACCAGCACCCTGGCGCAGCAACCTTCCCAGCACCCTTTCAAGCACTCTGTCACGCTCTGTCTGCTCTCTGCAGGGCCACAAGCACAGCAGCCATCGGACCTGTCAGCACCCAGGCTGGCGTCACGGGCCACTGCAGACCCTGGTCACAGTCAGTACGAAAATATGCGGGAGCTAGATTAGAGCTTCACGGCTAAATAGCAAGGGACTCGCATAGCTTGCTTGGAATCTGCCTGTCATGCAACGAGCACAAAGCAGCTAGGTATATTTTCATTTTCTTCGGGCAAACCCTGCCACAAACACCTTTTCCACATCGCTGTTACCTGGGAGGCAAGAAGCAGGAGGAAAAGGTGTTAAACAGGAAGGATCCTAGAAGGGACAGTGTCAGGTTGTGTGACAGTGTGGTTCCACGCACACAAAGGAGAACAGAGGAACAACAGCTGATGGGGAACCAGACCAGCACCCTCTCCCACCACACAACATGTATTTGTGTTGTTCACATGTGGGTATGTGCCTTCTGAGCACGCGTGCTCAGCCACACCGGTTGGACTTGCGGGCGTGGGGCTGCAGCAGCCTTCGGCACCTCCAAACAGGCGCCCTGGGCCAGCACCGGGCTGCTGGAGGGCATGGAGGGAGGCGAGGAGCGGGGGGAGGCCAGCATTTGTGATACACAAAGAAAGGGGAGCGGGAGGAGTTAGTGAAAAGGCAGCAGAGAGGTAACACGTTTTGTCAATTTAATCTTGCAATAAATCGGCAAAGGTCCAGCATAAGAAGGAGTGGAGGCCAAGAGGAAAGGATGGTTTGAAAAGCAAGCCTGCTGTGCCACAAAGATGTATTGTCAGCTCTGAGGGATGTTGCCAGAAGACACAGAAGACGACAAAATAGTTTTACGGGAGCACAAGCCAGCCTGGTCGCAGTGGCTTGGCTAGAGATGGTTTGCAGCATGGAACCAAGAGGGGAAACACACAGTTCTGTCTGCGGTGCTGCTGACACACAGGGGCGTCAGGCTATCCAAGCAGGAGATGCAGGGCAGGGGCTGGGGGACAGGCTTCCTCAGGCTGCCACCTTTGAGCCCGAGCAGCAGGCTAGCTCAAAAACCAACATAACATGGGCTTCCCTGCTGGAGATTACGAGAAGAGGACAATTAGTGCATACTGTAGTGGTTTTAAATAACGCGGACACCTGTCAGTTGGTCCTGGGCCAATACTCCACACTAGCATCAGGAAGGCCTTTGAACTATATGCATGCAACAAGAGCCTGGAGAAAAAAAGGCATCAGACCCCATTATCCTCAGCCTTTCAGATCTCTTGATCACGTTTTGTCTTCCATTTCAACTTGAAGAAATGTAAATATTTAATAGAAAGAAAAAAGGGAGCAGTAGAGATTAATCCTTTTTTCATCCACTCTGTTACAGTGCCATGGAATTACCCCCCAGCATTCACCCATCTCCTCTTAAGTATGTATTTCCCTAACGTAAGCCGTTGCATTCTTTCAAATCTGCTTTCATCTTTGCTTTTCAGAAGACCAGATGCTTCTTTCCTCTTTTTTGGAGGGTATAAGTTATTTTAAAAGCACGGTAATTTTCCCAGCTGAAAGGAGCCTTGGCACCATTTTTTTAATGCAGATTGACTCACGGGTACTCTTTCCTAAAGCCATGGTACCATACAGTTATCATTGTCTTCGTTCAGCTGCATTTTGACATCGAGGAGAAAAGAGCTGTCAGATTTCTCGACATGAAAATTAGACTAGATTGCCATGCATTTTGTCACATCCAACAATGGAAATTAAAGCAAAATGATTTTCCATGGGGAAAACTGCAATAAATGCTGGGTTTCCACCCAATAGAGAGAGACACTATTTTTTTTTAATCTGGGCAGAAAATAGAAGATATAGATAAAATCATAATTTCAATTACTGAATTTAGATAGAAACTGTCAAGAGAACTGTTAGTGTAATACCCTCTCAGCTCCTCAAGAACACTCGTGATGGAAGATGCATAATGGAATTCACTGAGGAAAAATTAATGGGAGGTTATGATCATCACCCATCGGCTATTGACAAGTAACCTGAAAATAAGCTCACTTCCTAATAAACTGGGTTTTGAACATTTGGTGAAGAGAAGACAAAAGAACATTTAAATGTATAAGGGTGTTCTGGTTGCTGTGTATCTCCAGTCTTGCTCTGGAAACCAAGGATGCTATTTGCTGAACCACCTACTAGCTAATGACGGGAAGACAGTGAAGCAGAGCCATGCAGAAGTTAACATTACCAGGGTTTAGTGGGTAATGGTAAGAAGGGTGCCTATTTCGGTTCTTTAACGCTCTGTAAGCATGTTTTCCACCTCTTACTGATCGGAACAGTGGTGATTGTTGGAGAATTTTTATGGTACCCCTTAAGGCAAATTAAACGTGTTTGTGCTTAAATTAAAAAAAAAAAAAAAATTAGTGAACAACGCATGGGGCAGAGTCCTACCACCGTAAGCAGTTCTACAAGGACGATCACCAGGAGCCCACTCCTCACAAAAACCTGCACCTGCAGGAATCCCCTGAGTGGCTGCATGGATGGCTGCAAGACCACACTGTGCCTGTGTCTTATCACCCCGGGAAACCTCAGCCCCACAGCGGGAACAGTTCTGTCCCTGGCATTGCTGCTTCCAGACAGCTTCACCCTTTCTGCAGGGGGGTGCCCAGGACAGATCACTCCTCGGTCACAAATGACCACTGCTGAGCAGCTACGATCTGAATCTCCCCTTCACCACGCTGGACATGTTGGCTTCTTCTGTCCCCTTCCTCCACCCACCACTCAGGCCTGTCCCCACTGATGCTGCCCCAGGCAAACACCCTGGGAACTAAGGACAAGGGACACCAAAGGTGGCAGCAGCAGGAAAACAGCCACCTGAGAACTGGGGCTGGACAGGATTTAGGAGAAATACAGAATTGGTGAAAACTTGGAATGGTCAGATTAACGAGGCAGCATTGTAGATGCTTCACCAAAATCCTTTTATGGCAGGAAATCATCAAAGTGTTTGTGAAAAACAATCAGTTTCAAATAACAATATGCAAAAGAAGGGCTAGAAAAAGCATCAAAATTACTAAAACAATCACTCTGCATTTCTCCAGGGAAAAAAGACGATAAACCGAATTAAACTGAATTTTCAGAAAAAAATGCTTTTTTACTTAAAATTCATACTTCATCATAATTCTGTACTGGTTTTGAAAAATGTACTCATAGTGAAAAGATTGTCTGAAATTCCAATTCTAAATAAAAAAAATATTTTTGATTCTTGCAACTTATTTTCTTTAAAAGGCCAACTTTTTCTCCAATTTGAAAATTATTTTGAAAATAAAAAATGTTCCCTATTTGATAATTTATTAAAATTAAGACTAAAATATTTTTTTAAATTACTTTAACATGGAAGGGACAACATTTTAAATTAGTTTAATTTTTAGTAATAGCCATTTTGTACGTGGTTTTGGACCAAAAGCCACTTCTTAATGATTTCAGAAGGAAAAGTAGGCTCAATCCTAGGGTCAGCAAAAAAATTTTTAAATGACAAAAATATACAAATCTGATTTTACATTCACAGAAGT